CGTGCATGTAGATTATACCCCCAAAGTTTCAACCCCGTAGCTTTTGCCGGTCTCGAGATGAAAAATTGGTACAGACGAACACACAGACACACACACGCAGGCAACCTCTCGTCAATATGCGTTTTCTGCATTGCATAGCTACAAAAAACGCATAAAAATGGATTCTCTAAAACCCAGTTTTTTTGGTCTAACTCATTATTTTTTGAAACTTACGTTGAAATCGAACTGCATTTGACTTGGATGTCCGTGCTGCTGAATGTTTGCATAGAGATTACCAACACAAACAGCTGTACTTATTGAAATAATGGGACATAACGGATCATTCACGCTATAAGCGTTTCCATCACTGGGATTCAGGATGAGCGTGCTTTCCGGAATCATTGCCAAAACGAATGCTGACTGTGGACCTGCAAGGTTTTTCAAAATTAAAACAATGGATATTTTCATAAACCGAAGAAAGATCATCTTCGCACTCCTGCAAAAGTGATAATCCGATTTTCCATCAAAAAAAGTTTGTCTTTATTTTAGCACGGAGATATCCTGGCTCCTAAAAATTAGTCGTTAACAAGGATCTCATCCTGAATCACCCAGGACTGTTCGAAAAAAATTATGTTTTATCGGGTTTTTTGAGGTTTGTGCAAACCACATGCTGTTGAAACATTGTCTGTGTGCATGTTTGTGTGTGTAGTGTTTGTGCATTTGTGTGTTTGTGTTCGGATATCTATTGGAGTTTTTTTTTTGGCTCAGTAGACGAAAGAGCTAGGGAGCTGAAATTTTATGAGGATGATTCTCACTTATATGCGAGAAATTTAAATTTCTCTTCACCTCAAACCCAGTTCTCACGGATGGACACATGAGAAATTTGCCAGCTTGGGAACCAAACAAGACTGAAAGCTAAATTTTAGGGGTATATTTCCTGTTCTTGTGTGAAAAAAATTTATCTTCACCAACTTCCACGTCTCGTTTCCATAAATGGGCACATCAAAATCTAAGGTTTTTAGCGGCAACCTGATGCTCACCGCGATTCAGTGCTGTTGGTTGAATTGCCTGTGTGTTTTCTGTTGTCTCCGGTGTGGTATACGTTTGCTTTGAAACTATTAGTTTGCGACTGAAATGAGTAGTCGAAATGGAGGGGGACTGGCTTCTTATGGCGGCAAACCTAGAGCCAAAAAAAACTTACAATTTCCGTCAATAAGAAACACTGCTACACGCTGCTCATTTTAGATGCAAAAATGTCAGAGCTAAAAGTAAAATGTGACGAAGTCTGTTAAAAAATCAAAAAAAACTACTTGCTAGTCCTCAAAAGATTTTTTGAGGAAAATTCCTTTAAACAGAAATCGTTTTAACCTTCTGGCAGTGAAGAGCCAAACAAAACGTAGGAATGGATGTTTGCGTGGAGTAGCCAACAACACAGTAATATGGCATGCTCTTCTTCATCACCACAACCAATCGACAAAAACTTGAAAAAACGTCAAATAATGTGGCATAAAAATTTGAGATGCTTTTCTCAGTTGTTATTTCATTGCCCCTTTTCATCATTGATGCAACTGGCAACTTCTCAATTTTTCTCTATTTTGGACTTCTTTCAGTCACATAATTCCTTGTAGCCGTCCAGTTGGCCTTAAGAGTCTTTGCCATGTTCTTTTGACATTGCATGATGATTTACTGTGATTCAAAACTGCATAGCTGGTTCGCCACCTACGCAACTCGGTGTTTTTTCCGGTTGCTTTGTCGAATACTGCATCGCTCGCTGATCAACCAGCCGGCGATCTTGACGGGTGCTATCAAGCATTCGTCTTCGTCCATCTGCTATCTCTCATTCTCGCACGCGAAGCAAAAAAAATTTTTTTTTGACGTACACTGCCTTTATAATATCAAGTAAAACTGGAAGTGAAAAAGTTTCTTCGAGTTACTGGAGCAAGCCATTTCTATTCATTATTTATATTATTATTTCTCTACTTATGCTCTTTCTGCTTTACTTTTATTCAATTCCATCTATTTATAGGTAATTGTTGAGCTCAGCATACGTCGTTCCATGACTCGTTGAACCACTACTAGTGTTATTTTTATACTTTTTTTTGCCTAGTTATGCAAATGCAAAAACGCATATTGTCAATATTTAAAAACTTGCATTTTCGTGCTCACTGCTCAGTTCTAAAACAATCTTTAGTATATTACTAACCTGGTCAGCACTAGCCCATAAGTCGATAAATTCTGGAAAAATAGCTGTGTGTGTAACAAAAGGAATGTAGGAAACCAATCGACAAGCGGCTCGTGCCAATTGCTGTGGTGACTGATTATCAGCTGATAGACTTTGTGGCGGTTTAATTGTTCGTAGAAACCTTAAATGGATTTTTTTAAGATCAGACTTCGCTGTCACTTCCCCGGGGCGGTCAAGGCCATCCAGCGTCAGCGATGAGACCCGCTGATATTCCTTTCAGGCACAATTATTTCAAATACTTTTCCAGTTCAAGATATCAAAATTGTTTTCGCATGGGAACAGAAACCCGCATCGTAGTCGATTTAGTGAAAAAAATTTACCTACAAGCTAGTACTCGCTTTCCAGTTGCGCACTGTACGATGCTAAAGAAGCGCCGATCCGGGAACCGATTTCTAGCGATTTGCTCCCACTCCAGACATCGTCGATATATCTAAGAAGAAATTGTTTAATCTTACAATTTGACGATCAGTTTCGACATGACATTTTGCAAGCTAAGTGGAAGAGGAGCCTGGAACACAAACGATGAGTAGCTCTGTCCTACAAATGACATAGTTCTTGCTGTGAGTAGGGTTCTTTAACTGAATGAAATGCTGTAGGAACTTCATGCACGAGAATGTGGCAAAAACGAGATTATACGTTGATCCTAAGTGGACTTTTATCAATGGTAGGAGTGCATATAGATGGTGCTAATTTGAAAAAAACTTAACAGCTAGCCAAAAAGTAAACATGATTAGCTGCTGTTTCAGAACTAATAGCGCGGAACTGCATACTTCGTTGGTTTCATCAATATTGGTATACTTTGGTGCCTCAATACGCGGTGGACCAATTACTGGCTCAAACGCTATCAGCAGCTTTATATACGCCGGTTGATCGCTAATCCTAAAATTTCCATCAGTACTGTCCCAAATGAAACATTTGTCGTACGCATGTCGAGGCTTGAATATCATAAAAACGTTTATTACATCTAATAGCTTTCTCAAAATAACGAAAAAAGAACGGAACAAAAAGGCACCATAGTTAGCAACAAAACAAAATAATAAGCAGAAAATGCGACTTTGATTACAGCACTTGTTTCAGTAACATCAGTGGAGATTTGGGTACTTTTACAAAGAACTGAAGCTACCAAGACGTATAGCAGAAGTCCCGCCAAAGGAGGCAAAAATTAAAGCCTAGCTGTATATGGCAGCAAGATATAGAATGGTATGTGTAGGGACCTCAAACGTACAGATTCCAGGAAGTGATTATGGGCCTGTGTTGTAATGGATCGCACATCACTTTCAGATATGAAAAGGAGTGATTCGATTCCACCCGCAGTGTCATTTTTAAAAAACAGCTCCGTCCGCCACAAAATATTTTCCTATTCAAAAAGTCTTAACTTCCTCCGTATTCGCTCTCTGCTAAAGTTTAAGTGCTCAAGAAGTGACAGGATTGCTACTACAAGTACCAACAACAATACCTGCTGGCAAGTTTGTTTTTGATTACCTGTTATTTCATCTCATATCTTCAAAATTATCACTTTATTGAAACTTATTAAACTTTTATTTTGCAGTCAAAATGATGCATACCTGTAAGAGGTTAAAATCAGTGGAGTCTGGAGACGTAAGCGTCCATCAATTTTAGCATTATAATAAATGGTTGTGAATGGAATAAAAATCGATCCGAGGTAACGTCTTTCGAGTTGCTCATGCACCGAATTCGGCTCCCGGTCATCAGCATTTAACTTGCTGACCAGCTGCAGCAAAAATAATCATTACGGGAAGGCAAGAGTGCAAATTAAACTTTTCAACATTACTTAAGGTTGACAGTTTTAATTAGAGAGTATATCGGACGCGATGGGACAGATTCGCTAACCCGGATGTTTGATGTGCTTTGGATGTTGCGAGCCTAAGATCGAAGTCGATGGTGTAGCTGTCAGTTACACCATTAAAGATCGTTTCAAAAACATGAATCAGTGATGAACTAGTAGCCGTTACTAGCCCCAATCATCAAATAAATAAATATGAAACGAACGCTAGAACTGCCAACAGGCTAACCACCAGGTAAAGCAGAACTGGTCAAAGCAATTGAAAAAGTTGTCATTCTGCATAATTGGAGAACACAGCTGTTCCATGCATTCAAACAAATATTTAAGTTTGGTTCATTTGTTACATTCATTCACAGTAATCCACGACTCGGAACATTTCATTGTGGGCTGTTTTTGAAGTCAATTTTTTCCGCACTGTTTCAAAATATTCACTAATTTATGCTTTTTTTTAGAATCTCGATTATGGAAAGTTAAAAACTAAAACAAACTCGATCGTAAACAGTAATTCGAAGTGAATCAGTGATACTGCTGAAGTCATTTTTGGTTTCTCGAAGACGATCAAGCTTCAGTTCAACAGTCTGCTGCCAATTCGCGTTCCTACCATTTGCAGCTACTGTCGTTTCTGCTGATGAGCCCTAAATTTTTTTAGCTTTTGTTGAAATTTCATACTACTACTACTATTCGAAATGTCAAAACCCTTCTGTATTCACTCGCTCTCACACGTGAGATACTTGGAAATAGCCTGAATGGCATTAAATGCCAAAAGCAACCACTCGTTGATAGATCCATCGATGGCTCACTTTTTCATGGACTCCATGATATATGTCATTATTGTGATGTATAAAAAACGCTCAAGCAAGATATGATTGCTTACCTGAAAAGAAATCTCAACAAATGGTTGTAATGTGCCTTGTTCCGGTTCCGGCAAATTTATTGCCGATTGAACATTGATTACAAGGCGATATTCCACATTCTCAAGCACCTAAATAATTAATCAAATCCGAAGAAACACTACAAAAATTATGGCATTGTTTTACATTGTACCTTCTCTGCTTACATTTCACTTTTCTTCTACAAATACTTCTACAAATACATTTGCTCACATGTGTAATAATAATAGTAATAATAATAACAACAATAATAGTAACAGTAATAACAATTATAGAAATTATAATAGCAATTTATGCTGTGACTTCAGTACTTATCAGATCCAGTTATGGCGCTGAATTAAGATTTATGCAGTTTAATGGGCTAAAACATACTCATCTTAGCTAAATTATTAATTTTTCATAAATGTTATAGGTTTCAATCAATAATATTTCTGCTGTATTTCACTGTTAGTAATATTTGCTCCTTTAATAGCGTTTTCAATAATGTTTAGGCCTAACTATTAACTTGGAATATACAATCAAATAAACATAAGTAGGTAAAAATTACTGAGTCATTTCTCAGCTATAATGCTTTTTTGGAGTAAA